TGTTTATCAATTACAATGTACAACTATGACATATTAGTCTAATGAGGGTTGAATTAGTTTATATATTTGAATGTACATACTAGTAATTTGTTGAATTGGATATATCGGTTATACCGTAAACAGTTAGCTAATGTGATTGAATATACAAACACCATAATTGTAGTAATTTCACAATCTTATGTTTATCTCGTTAGTTCACCCATTTGATTATTAGCGCCTATGTGGCCACTACTAGGAAATTCCTACTGACTGCCTTCTCATGGTTGTTTTCTAAATCAAAAAACAAATGTCCGACACTTTATTTGAATTGATGGATATAAAAGATCTAAGTAGGGGAGTTGGAAAACCCTAATTCCATACCAACAGTACACACAGGCTCTAAGATTCTGAGGAAACAAATGGTGTATGAACCTATTGTTAGTCACCAGCTACCATGGAACTGCATCTCTTAACAATGTTCCACTCTTTTGTAGATTAGACTTCGAGGTTAAAGGTTCGAGGAGTGGCCTCCCCTAAGAAAACCATGTTCTTTGGTTCAGGCACTTGAACAGTATTCCAGTCCTCACAGGAATTAAATAATGAAGTGTAGTGCATACATATTTACTGCCTTCTTATACCAATGTTTGTGTGTTCAAATGAATAAACTGATTACCGGATCATTCCAGCATTTTGACGACGAATAGATCTGATAACTATTTATCTAACTGACTTTTAAACTTTCATCTACTTCATATACTGAAGAAGAAGAAGAAGAAGAAGAGAGAAAGCAGTTCATCATACAAAACTTTCTTTTCAACGATTTCATCTACTCAGTTTGTACAATCGTTTTTATAGTTAATGTTATTTGCTGAAACAGTATCGAATAGTTGAAGTGGTAATGTGATCATGAATTGGAAATCACATATTGATAGGATGTTATGTAATAATTGTCTAATGAAAAAGTGATAAGTTGAAGATAATTGTTTACTTAAAAACTAATAAGTAATCATTGTGAAACGAATTGAAAAAGAGTAGATAGATTATAGAAGATAGAAAGGGGGATCAGTGTTATGGAACAATGAGAAACTGAACATATTTTGTAATGGTGGAGAAGATTTATCGTTCACTTGAATGATTTTAATGATGTTTTTTATTCTCTATGCTGGATAGTTTAATCGTGGATTATTCATTATGTTCTTCTGAACAAGATCATCAACATTTCTACCTGAAGTTAAACTCACTTTTTATATCTGAAATTTTTATCTCAATAGTTGAAATCATGAGCCAATTGAAGCTAGACCACCATGGAAAACCTGGAAGCATTGGACGGCCGTTTCGTCTTAGTATGGGACTCCTCAGCAGTGCGTATTCATGATCCTGCACCAAAGCGACCCGAACCCACCTCAAACAATGGATGAAGGATTGCTCAAGATCATGGTTTGATTGAAGTTAGACATTAGATGTCAGCTCAATGGTCTAGCGGTAAAGCATTCATGCATAAGACCGAATGTCCTGAGTTCGAATCCTTTTGATGTGGGACCGTGGATACGCTCTGCTAAGGTGTCCCATACTTGAATGAAACGGTCACATCCAGTACTTCCAGGTGTGCAATAGTGATCTAGTTTTCGTTCAACTCGTGAATTCAACTATGAAAAATATTACAATCTCTACAACAAGGTTTGTTGAAAATAAATTTCTCTTTGTATTTCACCTTAATACAATATGAACTTACATTTAGCCTATAAATTAATCATACTTTTTATGATAAGGTTATCATTAGACAGTATCCAAGACATCTATGAATGCTTTATGTACATTATTACATTGTTATATACATCAAACTTAATTATATACCTAATAAATGGTGTTTTTCATTCAATGGTATTCAGATATAAATGTGCTGTATATAGTGGATTTTATTAGTATCCATTTTCTTTATGTAAACAGGAAGTAAACTTATAAACCTGTAATTAAAACAATAAAAAAAAGTTTTTTTTGTAGTTGTTACATTCCATACGCTTTATAGTTACTAAGTGTATTGATTACCAAGGTTATATATATATTCTAATTAACTTTGGTGAATAAATCAATCATTGATAGCACTGATTTACGTATCAATTTGATTGATTTAGTCAACAATTCATATGAATGGATGAGCACTGTTGAGGAGTCTCACAATGGAACGAAACGGTTGTCCAATGTATCCAGGTTTTCTGGTGGTGGTCTAGCTTCGATTGACTCATCAATTTAACAATTCAGATTATTATAATATAATATAATCAACATATTCACACTAGTGACTGGCTTCAAGATGGATTTCCTGAAGTTCTAGTGAGAAGCTGTGATCAGTGAAGTTCGACCAGGTTTGTTGTGAGATAGTAACCCTCTGAAGATAGTGGTGGATGTGTTGTTCAATATCATGGATTAGTTGAGATTAGACATTAATACCGTTGAATGCTAATCGGCTGAGTGATCTAGAGGTTAAGTGTTCGCGCTCGAGACTGATAGATCCTGGGTTGGAATCTGAAGAGGCGTGATCGTGGATGCGCACTGCTGAGGAGTCCCACATTGGGAGGAGAAAACGTCCGTCCAGTGTATTCAGGTTTCTCGTGGTGGTCCTACTTCAATTGACTCATGACCTCTACTGTTGAAATTAATTAGTCCATCAAATGAGACAGTTCTTTTCTGTATAAAAAATTATATATTTACACTCATGTAATAAGTTAGTGGTGATTATTATAACCTGTAAAATAGGTCAAACTAGTAAACTGGCAAATAAGTGTGTAATAATAGTGTGATTTTAACCATAGAAAGACTGAAGACCATATAAAGCGACACAGTTTTTCTTTTTTTTCGTTTTCTATTCTGAGAATCAATAACAAATCATTGAAAAAGAAAATATAGAGTAATGAATTCAATCCGACACAAAACCTCAGAACCTCAAGAGGTTGGATTCCGTCCTGTATGAGATGTTGTGTATACTCTAATAACAAATTTCAAATTAAGATATTTCATCTGGTCATTTTGTATTTAGAATTGTTACGTTAGATGGTGGTTGGAGGTAGTCGATAGGAAATCCTGGACCCGGGTTTCGTGTTACTTGGCACTCGTCAGCAAGGTGTACCTGTAATCTTGAGGGAATTGGTGCTCCCTGGTGGATTCGATCTCGTGTCACCCAGCTTCATAGTTAGAGACGTTATCACTGAGCTATTCGAGCCCACAATAGTGCACGCAGTGTCGACTGGTGGCCACATTGCAACATGATCGATAGCCTTCGATCTTTACTGATAAGGACTAGACACGCATGACATTGATCACCACCCAGTGATCAATCAATTGAGAACTGTTACATCTTTGATCTGTCTATGCAACAATATACAGAAGAAAACTCGTCTCACTCTAGATTAAGACCTTGACATGATAGGCTAATTGGTTCAACCTTGAGGCTAGAATTACACGAGTTCGAAGTGTGACCAGCCGTGTTGGGTAGAGTGACGAAAACTATCTTATCACTTAATTGATTAACAAGCGTACGAAAGTGAAGTTGAGTCAATTGGAACAGTACTCGATTTATTTTTGATTCCGATTCAGACTCCGATTCGATTCCAATTCAAATTTGTACGAAAATATACATGAATAATGTAGATGACTAACATGATCCCAATGCAGGAACACTTCGAAATTTTTAATGATTATTCTAAACTTTAATCAATATTATATTTTTGGTACAATGTATCATTCTCAGGACAAAGTATTTCAACCAGTTTCCGTCCCTTATTTGTTGATTGATCCAGACGATTATACATATAGAATGATCGCCAATTAGATGTTAACAGTTCAGAAATCGATATCTGAATAATGTACATTGTTTTCGCCGTGTATTGCTAGACATCACAATATCTCTTATTGGGCCTTTTGTAACGTGTACAATGAAAGATTGTGAACTTTTCACAAACACATATGAATAAGTTATGCAATTAATTGACAACTTGTTGAAATATCTAGATAACAGGAACAGGTAGTCTAGATGTTCAAGCAGGCTGATAAGTTGTTCATTGATATGTACAAAACTAGGCATTAAGGTAGAAAAATAGAGTAACGAAGGTTCCGTATAAATTAAAATAACTTTGAGACAAAAAAGGATATGACAGTGGATCATACGTCAAACAAAAGCTTATAGCTCGTAGAATAAACTAAAGGGGGGGGGGGAATAGAAAATATTAATGCTTCAAAAACTTTGAATTCAATGAAATAACATCCTCAAAATTAGTTTCCATCATTTACCATAACTTCTTGTTTCTCTGTTCATATCAGGAAAAAAATGCTGAACTTCTCTCCTCGATAATGGTAGACGGTGGGGCAGTCTCATGGATTAGTTGAAGTTAGACATTAACACCGTTAAATGCTGACCGGCTCAGTAGTCTATAGGTTAAGCGTTCGCGCACGAGACCGACAGGTTCTAGTTCGAATCTCGTGAGGTAGGATCGTAGACGCGCACTTCTGAGGAGTCCCACGATAGGACAAAACGGGTGTTCAGGGTTTCCATGTTTTTCATGGCAGTCTAGATTACATTGACTCATGATCTCAACTATTAAAATTACTACAATGTCCACAAAAATCCTTCGGATACTAATAAACATATGCTCACACTAGTGGCTGGATTCAAGAATTCAAATGTATTTGTTGTGAAATAACAACTTACTGAAAACATTGGTGGATGTATCACTCAATTTCATAAATTCATTAAAGTTAGAAATTAATACCATTAGATGTCGGCCAGTTCAGTGATCTATAGGCTAAGCGTTCGCGAACGAGACCGATAGATCCTGGGTTCGAAACTCTCGAGGCGTAATCGTGGATGTGCACTGTTGAGGTGTTTCACATTAAGAGGAAAAAAAACAACTGTCCCATATAATTTACATCGACTCATGATCTCAACTATTAAAATTACTACCATCTCCATCAAAACCCCTCTTTGATTAAGATCCTTCATCGTTTTGTTTTTCTCTTTTTTCATTTTTAGTTTAATCCATACAAATGATGATAAGAAATATACATCGAATATTCAATTAATGAATTGATTCTCTTCGAATCATAGAAGACAATCATCCAATTACCATGATCATTCATCATTATGATTATGTAATACATCAACCATTGATTACATTATCATTATCTAAACTATATTTTTATATCAACTTTCTATTCTACTTTATATTATGTTTATCTATTCATGAGAATACAATACAAAATATTAATGAATTAACATTTACAATAAAAGAAGAATTACCCATAGGTACAATTATTGCATCAAATATACAATTAGGCAATTTATTTTTACATTTTAATCACTATGGTAACATTGAAAATATGACAAATATTATTAAAATATTAAATCTGAAAGATCCAGGTATAAATTGTTTTCATTTTCAATGGTTACCATTAAAACCATTCAATAATTCGAATAGAAATCAATTACAATTGATTATTACAGATCGAATTGATCGTGAAATCATATGTCCAATTAAAACTCATGAATTACGTAATAGTAATAATAATAATAATAATAATAATATGAATGATCCTAATCATCTTGATCTGGATCATATCAATGATCTACAATCTATAAATTCTGATTGTATCATTACATTAAAAATAGCATTATTTATAAATAATCTACAAAAAATTTATCAAATTCATATTTATATAGAAGATATTAATGATAATCCACCAAAATGGAATATGAATAATCTAACAATCTATTTTCATGATGAAGATCCACCAGGGACAAAACAATCTATATTATTAGCTTATGATATAGATATTGATATGAATGCTAAAATTACATATCAATTATTAAATAATGATATATATTCTTATCAATTCAATCATAGAAATTATAATCATAATGATAATCATAATTTGAATTTGCGCGGTACCGATATATTTGAATTAGTTCAAGAAACATTGAATCATGAACGTTTATATTTAAGAACACGATATACATTAGATCGTGAATCGAAACCTAATGGTTGGAATTTATTATTATTAGCTATTAATAATGATAGTTTAATACAATTAAGTAGTCAATTATTATTACATATTCATTTAATTGATATTAATGATAATAGTCCTATATTTACACAAACATTATATAAACCACAATTACCAAATCAAAAAATTGGTATTATCCCTGAAAATTATCCTATTAATAAAACAATCTTAAAAGTATCAGCTACAGATATAGATGAAGGTGAAAATGCTCAATTAACTTATCATTTAGCCTTAGATACTACTAATCAATTATTATGTCATTTTTTTAATTTAACACAAAATGGTGAATTATATCTTATTCAATCATTAAATGTAGATAGAATAACACAAATTAATTCAACTCGTTTATATTTACCAATAACAATGATTAATTTAGATGTGATTGTTATAGATGGTGCTATGATACCATATAGTAAAACTGGATCAACTACTATTCAATTACAAATAGAGAATATTGATGATGAACCACCTGAGATCTATATACATCCTATTCAATCTCTACAACAACACCATGAGCAACAACAAGATGATCATTCCATATTACATAATCAACAATTCTATGAAACAGAGATTGGTGTCTATGAAAATCAAACTATTGGACAATTAATTGCTTTAATTGAAGTAAAAGATCCTGATGATTTATTGAATCCAACTACGATCCAATGTAGATTAATTGGTTCTAATTCGAATGATTTTTATTTATCTTATCATAATTCAATCAATAATGAATATCAATTATATACTAATACAATATTAGATCGTGAAATACAATCTAAATTATTATTATCCATTGAATGTAAAGATTTAGCTAATCATATTACATTACATAATTTGATAATACATATATTAGATATAAATGATCATCAACCACAATGTATGGAATCTCATTATTATTATTCATTATATGAAGATGATAATGAACAAGAAGATCAGGATAATGATGATGATGATCTTGATCCAGATCCTGATCATGGTGTAAATTATCAATTGGATAAAACAATGAAAAATCGTACATGGTTAACATCAAATGGTTTAGCTTATATTTTAGCAACTGATAATGATATTGGTATAAATAGTCAATTAATTTATGAATTATCTAATGAATCCATTGAAAAGATCAATTATAAATTTACAATTCATTCTAATACTGGACAATTATTTGCATGGGGACCATTTGATCGGGAATCTATATCAATTTATGAATTAATCGTTATAGTAAAAGATAATGGTAACCCTATACAATTAAGTACAAATTGCTTAGTAACTATCAATATATTAGATATTAATGATAATATACCAATATTTCATCCACAATTAAATATTATTGGAGGTTATTTATTTCATATTAAAGAGAATCAATTACCTGGTACATATATTGGACAAATTCAAGCCTATGATTTAGATGATTTACCAGCTTCCATAGATATAACACAATTATTTCATGCATATGATCAATCGAATTCCTTATTAGTATTATCATCATCCTCATCATCATCATCTAATATCCATAATGTTAATAATGATGAATTGAAAGGGATTCTAAGTAGTATGGATAAAAAATTAACATATTCATTAAAAAATGAATATCATTAACAAAGTTTCGTATGATCCTAAAACTGGAGTTATTATTACACGGTAAGTAATCATTTTAGGTTGATTATGAATACAGTGGTCTTGGGTGCTGTTAGAGGTATGAAGGCAGTTATCACTTCCCGGTTGCCCACACCGTGGAAGGGTTCTTCTGGAGGTACCTGAAAGGAAATTGGATTAAAGGTGGTCTCAGTGACCTGAGAGCGTGACCGCAGTGCCCAAGGGACAACTGCTTGAGGCCGGTCGCGCACGGCCTTTTCGTAGGAGGTTTTTGACGTGTTAGCTCCGTTCTTCAAAGGGCCTTACCGCCGGAGACGGAAATCCGTGAGGTAAGGTGAGCTGCGCATTTTTAAGGTCGACCTTTTCTAACCTCACCCCTCCTTGTGGAAAGGCAGCATCGCTGTCATGCTGGTTGTCTGAAGGAAACACCTTACTGCTGTCACACCTCTGTACAGTCCGCAGTACGACTTCGCCTTCGGACCTTGGGTTTGTTGCTTTTAGTCTTACCGCTCTTCAACCGACCTGTCTGACATGGTAGGACCTTGAGGAACGGTTGTTCCAGCCCGTATAGCTCGATTGCTCCATCACGATAGGCAAGCCACCACCCATCAAGGTAGCAACAACGGTCGGTAAGTAATCATTAAGAAACCAGAAGTCCTAGATGACCCATCTATTAATAATAATAATATACTAATAATAATATAGTAATAATATAAAGAATAATGGTATATTGCCAAATGATTTGAACAATCATTCATTAGTAAATCAACAGAATATTTCCAAAACTAAAGAGAATTCACAAGCGTATACAGGATTAATGAAATCTAGTTTTGTATAGTTACCTAGTCGGTTATGTAATAGTAATAATGGTAATATGTTATTGTAATGTTATGAATACGCATGGAATGAAGTACCTTAACTAAAATGAAACTCAATTTCTTTTCATAGTTGCTTGGTGGTCGGTTTAATTTCTTTTGAGATTCTTTCTTCTTTATCATTCTACTCACACACACACACTCGCACACACACACAATCATGGCAATATATACAAAAATGATAATTTTATTTGTAATCAAAGAGAAAAATATAATACCGAATGTTTATGAGTATGATTTATTGTTTAATCAATCCATTTATTATTAGGATAGGGGTTGTGGAGATTGTTAAGTTTTTGATTGAGATCATGAATTGATTGATGTTAGAGCACTATTGTAAACCTGTAAGCATTGGACGGCCATTTCGTCCTAGTATGGGACTCCTCAGTAGTACGAAGCCATGATTCCGCTCACGGGACTAGAATCTTTGAGTCTTGCGCGGGAATGTTTAACCTTTACACCATTGAACCAGTACCCAACAGTGCTGAGGAGTTCCACAATTGGATGGAATGACCGTACAGTTCTTCCAGGTTTTCAATGGTGATCACACATCAATCGGTTCATCATCTCAATCGATCAGTTTATCTTGATTAAGAGAATAATATTATTAAATGGTTAGATAGTCGACAGAGAATCTTGCACTTATATTTTGTGCTAATTAACACATGTCATCAAGGCAAATCTGTACTCTTGTGAAGACTATAGACTTCAGTGAAACAGGTTCATATACCATAGTGATTATCATTAGTTCTTTTGAGTTTTCAAGTAAATGTTGCTGACAACTGTAAACTAACATTAAATTACCTTCAATCATATAATATTTAATTATAGCCTATTTGATGATGAATCAATTAGAATGATAACCATATTGTAGGTTGATTGATAAAACTCGATCAACATTAAGAGATTAGATAAACATAACATTGATCATTATTCACAGTAACCGATCAATCAACAATTTTTGATCAGAAAAAAATATTTAATTAAACAAGGCATCATTACAAAATAGTTGTTACATATGGATCAAATATACTATTCCATAATAAGATGAAACGATCGTCTAGTGCTTCCACGTTTTCTATGGTAGTCTAGCTTAAATTCACTCATGAATACAATTATTGAATTAATTATAATTTTCTGTAACATTTAATAAACCAAGAATGCTAGAATGCCTATGGTGATGTTAATGATGTAGACTCGTCAGATGATACCTTTTCAATATATTCACTTGGAGATCTCTTAATAAATGGTTAGGTTTTACACTTTAATGATTCTATCTGCAATCAATTGGGATGTAATAAGTTCATATTTTGTGGACTGTATTGATGTTTTCTCAAATTCACAGTTTTAATAAGCACAATTCCTTAAAATGTAATTTAATGGTTCAATTCATGAGTTCACTTAAGCTAGATCACCGTTAAAAACCTAGAAGCACTGAATAGCCTTTTCGTTCTAGTATGAGACTACTCAAAGCATCCAAGATCCCTCATAGTGGATTCGGACCCAGGACCTTCGGCCTTTAGATCACTGAGCCGGAATCCAATGCTGTTAATGTCTAACTTCAACCAATCCACGAACTTGCGCAACCGTCCACCATTGCTAAGGAGTCCCATACTAGGACGAAACGGCCGTCCAGTGCTTCCAGGTTTTCCATGGTTGTCTAGCTTCAATTGACTCATGATTTCAACCTGTGAAATTTTTTAAAAATCTCCACAAAACCCATTCTGATAAAACTTTAATTATCGAGTAATCTGAAAATTGTAGAATTACTTCAACACATATCTTTGTTTCCTCTCATCATCTGCCACTGATAAGTGTTTATAAAATCAAAGATTTATTAGCTAAAACATTAAAGAGTTTCGCAGGTTTCACTATCTTTATCATTTTATGGGACGCTCTACTTCTTCAAATCATCTGGATATAAAACAAACAAAATAAATAAAGTAGGGAAATTGTTTATGCACAATAACATTACCACTAGTCGGAACATTGTTTATTGAGGAATCTTTAAAACTATATTCTAACTGAGTATATACGCATTAAATATAATCTGTACATGTTACCACCGTCCAAATACGAAGTACTTTATGTTCAAATGTAAATTCTCCCAAGCTCCAATGAAGTTTGATTTAGAAAACAAGATGGTACATGAGACGTTACCGCCGATTTGTCCAACTTATCAGTGATCTAATAGCTTATGAACTCTATATTTATATGAGATTTTCTGCTTTATATGTGTATAGAGGTGACTTAGGGACTAAAGTACTCAACTCTTAATCATCAGTTCATAAATTAAAACTTTTATCCGTTTAATTCAACTTGAACAACGAAACATTACTGCCATTCGCAATTATAGAAGCAATTTTATTCACAGATGAGTACAAAAAAGCTGTAAATGGTATGCGAATGTTTTTAGTTAATCAAAGATACCTTCACAATTGATTGATCGCTGGATAGTGATCAATGTCATGTATATCAGGTCCTTCTTAGTGCATATCGAATACTATCGACCAAGTAGCATTGTGGACACTAGTCTAGGTGACTGGACATTGCGTGCACTATGTTGAGATAAGATGATGGTTGTAGGTAGTCAACAGGAATCTCTGGACCTAGAGTTCGTGCTACTTGGCACTCGTTTCTAACTGTGAAGCTGGGTAACACAGGATCGAATCTGTCAAGGAGCATCAGTTCCCTCAAGATTACAGGTACACCTGCTGACAAGTGCCATGTAGAACGAAACCTGGGCCCAGGGATTCCTGTTGACTACCTCCAACTATTATCTTAAGATATCAAATTATAGTTAGTAGAGGGTGAGTTTAACTAGCTCATTTTAAATTTGATCGGAAATATTAATAGTCTATTTGACCTCAGTAGTTCATTTTATAAAATCGATGTAAAACGTTTGTAAATGCTATGAATATACATGTAATGTATATCAAACAAATAAATAGGTTATTTCGAACATGGTAAAATAGTTTATCCTGAACATGACCGATTACAGATTTGATTCACCTGTATTATTTAGCCAGTCAGTCAGCTACAGCATAGGATCAGGCACATATATGAATCGGTTCAAGTTGGCACACCTCATTAGCATAACAAGATAAACATCAAATTCATAGAAGTAGTTACTTCAATGGTAGTAATATATAAAAGAAATATTGTGCATAAGGGTATAATACAGGGAGAAAGAAAGGTACGAAGTAATTTGGATCTGAGCCATGGCTCAGATTCGAAGTTAGTGACTTCAAGCGCTTCAAGCCACGTTTTGGTTTGGCCGCCCCTAACTTTCTTCCAACCATTTCCAACACTAGTCAGCATTGCACGTCGTGGTAATCGGTGTTCAGGCATACGTAACACGTGACCCAACCATCTCAGTCGATGTAGGTTCAAAGCTTCATCAACTGATTTACCATCATTCCTTAATACTTTGCGTCTAACCTTATTATTACTTACCCGGTCATCCCAACAGATGTGAGCTATATTTCTAAGACAACTGTGATCAAACACTAGTAGCTTAACCTCCATTATTATGTCTACAATGATATGTATGTAATGAATGTTAGTTAAACTGTAAGTATTGACTAATGTATCATGATGAGCAATACATTTACAATATCCTGATCCTATTAGCTCTAACAGTTCATCATTACAAAATTGATGTACATAATCAAGAGTGAATAATTTTGAAATTCATAATTGAACGGAATACAAGGAATGAATGGATTTAAAAAAACAATTATTATTTATTTTAACACATAGATATTGGTACAATGGGACATCAAATACATATGCGCCACATAAATCCTTCGATATGTGTGAGGGCTGAGATACTGCCCGGATGCCCGAACCGAAGCAGGTGATTTTCTTGGGAAGCAACACCCTCAGCCTTCGACCTGAAGGTCTGATCCACAAGACAGTGGAGCAACGTCAGGAGATGCAGTCCCATTGTAACCGGTGACCAACAATTGGTTCATACGCCATTTGTTCCCTTAGGATACTGGAGCCCATGTGCACCATTGTTTTGAAATCAAGGTTTTCTAACTCCCCTGTGTGGACTCTCCATGTCCACCAACCTGGTTAAAGCGCCGGAGTTTCGTTTTTCATCCTCTCAATTTCGTAAACAACACCCTTGGTGCGAGAAGGCAGTGAGTAGGACTTTCCTGGCAGAGGCTATATAAGCGTGGCCATGGGCGAGCATTTGGATAGGGAGAGCGGACTCTCCCCACTCTCGGACGTACCAGGGAATTCGGGGGCAAAAACAATTATATACCTACATTAACATTATTTACTATGGCTATCACTTCGTTTACTCATTCCGTTATTTAAAAACTTATTCCTTATTCCAAGTTATAAATCAAGACAGATGAAATGCATATTTCTGAAAATATGCAATAATATAGTACATATCCATACACTCAAATTGTAATTACACTTTACATATGAGTATAAGTGATATTAACCAGTTCCATTAACTGAATTAGGCGAGATAATGTTCGCGCGGGAGACTGAAGACCCTGAGTTCGAATCCTGCGAGCGGGATCGTGGATGCGCACTGCTGAGGAGTCCCACAATAGGACCAAACGGCCGTCCAGTGCTTCTAGGTTTTCAATGGTGATCTAACATCAATCGGTTCATAATTGTAATCAAAAACTTAACAATCTTCACTACCCCTAAACTGAAAATTATGTTCATTTGAATGCTTCTGTAGTGAACAAGAACACAAATGACGACAATCGAATGTATTTGAATTCGAAATTACAGAAGGTTTTACTAAAATCTGAGAATTATACAGTAAATATTTAATTTACAATAATGAAATGATACTCATCGAATAGATATATTACGTAATAATTTCATAATGATATATCGATTATAAATTAACATTAAGTAATATTGAACCAGCTAAAATCCAACGGTGTTAATGTTTAACCTGTTATAACTTGTGGCCTGTGTGCCCTGTCAACGTATAACATAACGATACCGCCAATTAGAGAGCAGTGAATTATCGACCGAAACAATGATGCATAAAACACATACGAGCAGTCTACAGTCCTTATCGGTCCTGCTTCCCACCTAGCCCAGTCAGTTAAGTCCAGAACACCAATCTCAGCCTCTGCAAAATGAGACATTTATTTCAAACATACTCAGTTTATATTCAAACCAAACAGACCACATCGTACCATAAAATAGGAAACAACATGTGTATAAGATCTAACTCAAAAATGGTTGTGAATATGGGAGGTAGTAATTAATAGACAGAGCATAACTGAAGAACGTGAAATCGTATAATAATAGTTCATAGGTTAAAACAAAGCTTTCAATAAGAGGAACACGAATATGAATAGTTTAATTGTTTAACAATTATTCGATAAAAATATACGTTTAATATTGGTTCATAAATGGATCCGAAAAGTTACCATTCATTATTCTCATCGGGATATAACAGTAATAATCAACAGACGAATGGTGAGAATAAGTAAGGTACAAAAAATGAAAGAAATGCGAAAATAGTTTATCAAAGTTCTGCTACGAACTCCTCTATACCGATGGTCAAGGTAGCGAGAGTGATTGTACAAACTTCTATTGGATACAAAGGTAAGGCTTGAGAACATGGATTGCAATAGCTTCAGCAATGTGCAAAAAACACATTCGTAAACCAGATGGCAAATTTGATAGAATATGGTGGATCATCTTAAAACCTTTATTCAGTTCAACTTGATGATCTGTGTCCACCAAGTAGACGAGAATAGAACTCTTAATCACTCTTACCTGTCCTTTGCTCAACCCACGACGGATAGTGTCCTATTATACAATGAAGAACTTGCCGAATTGAATTGATAAATATACATGGATTTGGCAAATATTTAATTCACGAAATATCAATCAATTGTTTCAAATTTTATTGTTCTTGCATTTTCATATCAATTGTGTTTCTGTTCCCATTCTTTCCTACTGCTAGACATTTTATTCATAACGATCGTTATGTACTACTTATATGGATATAAGTAGCCCACACCACAATTTAACCACCTAGTTACCATTTCATATTTTCAACCAACTTTATTATTATTATTATTATTATTATGTAAATTGAATTTCTTTTGTACGCATAGTTCTCGTTTAAGCTCCTGGATGATCAGAGATTCGGCTATTTTTAAGAGTTGAATACGAAGAAATATGGGTAGATTTGAACGAATCATATAAACAACCATAAAATCAGATTGTGGATCTGTAGAATGGTTACATTCGATTAGGTGTTCAAGTATAGAACTTCTAACTGATTTCCTTTCACCCTTATAGAACCAAACTGGGATATGTTCCCGTATCCAAGTTGAAAGAAGTATGTCTCAACGTTATCGTTACTTTGGCCTTAATTATTTTAATTATACATTGAATTGTTCAACTAAAACTCTACAATAACATTAAACAGAACTAAAAAACTGAATTTATTCGAAAATTCTATCAATTATATATCTGAATAAAAACATCAATATACTTGCAAAACTTATTTGTAAGGAGAAAAAACAAAGAAAAGAAAAAAAAGGAAATGACCATTAAAAGTATCATTGATATTTTTCTCCTTGGAATATCCGGAGAATTAGTTTACCTGTGGTTTGTTTGACACACAAAAAAAGAGACACGTAAACAAACCGGGGAACATAATACTTGGTAACTATATGATGTTATATATATGGGTATAATAATAATCTTCTCGACGATACAAATACAAAATAGTTTCTCACCCACCCCCTACTCTTTATGTATTCACTTTCATACCTTCATTTCTGATCTATTCCAATTGAACTTAATGATGAATTAGTATTTATTGATGATGAGATCAACGAAGAAGATGATTCAGATGATGTTGTTGTTGATGATGTCGAAGATGATGATGAGGATGATTCAGATGATGATGATGATGTTGTCGAAGAGGATGAAGAGGATGGAATTAGTTGTTCAAGTAATTTATAAACAGTAGAAGGATTAAATTTATTAGAATTATTGTAACATTCTGAATTTTTTATTAAATTCATAACCAACTTTTTTAAACTTTTCTTATTACCATTTTTATATTGTCTAACCTAATGAAAAAAGAAAATCATATGAAAAAAAAAGATATTACAAATAAGAGAAAAATATTTGAAAAGAGCGCGAGCGCGCGCACGCACGCACGTACACACACACATACACAAAATGAACATATCGATAAAGGAAGCTTCTTTTGAAGGAAAGAAAAAAGAAAAAAGAAAAACAAAGAAAGAAGGCAACAGTAGAGGAGATTAAGTAGAGATATATATATCGAATACATTTCAACAAACAAACATTAATACATATACACAAATTGAATGATCAGCTTAAAATGGATTAAAAATATAAAGAGAGAGGATTAACTGATTATATATATATATATTGAAAAATTGGAAAATCTTAATAACAATGATAATCATTTATAAGTAAAGATGGATAGTGGTTAACAGTCGGATCCAGTTTGATGCACATTTCCTACATATTTGAGATTCGTTAGATGAATGTACCGGTATTCAAGAGTTGAGTATTGAAGTGAACATCAAGTCTGAGATGCAGATACATTCAGCTAATGAGTTTCAAATAGAATGAAACGTACGTCATGGATTCCCTCCTGTTAGTCACTATTTATCTTTACTTATAAAGCTTGTGATTTAATGCTATATTGAAGCAATCCACACAGGATGAAAGGATGCAAACAAGAGACTGATCAATTGCAGTCCTAAATATCAATGAAAAGATACAAGCAAACAACGTCAAATGAATTTAAAAGTGGTGATCATTGTAAAAGGGACAATAAGATTATTTACATTAAGAACTGTATATACACAATTACACAATATTAAGACTGAATGCGTTCGAAGTGAAGACCGATGTCAGGCAAGGTTGCTTACTCTCACCCTTTCTCTTTCTCCTGGTGATCGACTGGATCATGAAGACGTCAACATCTGAAGGGAAACACGGGATACAATGGACATCTAGGATGCAGTTGGACGATCTAGACTTCGCAGATGATCTGGCTCTTCTATCACAAACGCAACAACAAATGCAGGAGAAGACGAACAATGTAGCAGCAGCCTCAGCAGCAGTAGGTCTCAATATACACAAAGGGAAAAGCAGGATTCTCCGGTACAACACAGCATGCACCAATCCAATCACAATTGACGGAGAAGATTTGGAAGATGTAAAAACCTTTACATATCTGGGCAGCATCATCGATGAACAGGATGGATCTGATGCAGATGTGAAGGCGCGGATCGGCGAAGCAAGAACAACATATCTACAACTAAAGAACATCTGGAACTCAAAACAACTGTCAACCAACACCAAGGTCAGGATTTTCAATACAAATGTCAAGACAGTTCTACTGTATGAGGCAGAAACCTGAAGAACTACGAAAGTCATCATCCAGAAAATACAGGTGTTTATTAACAGTTGTCTACGCAAAATACTTCGGATACCTTGGCCAGACACTATTAGCAACAACCTACTGTGGGTGAGAACAAACCAGATCCCAGTGGAGGAAGAAATTAGTAAGAAGCGCTGGAAGTGGATAGGACACACATTGAGGAAAGCACTCAACTGCATCACAAGACAAGCCCTCACATGGAATCCTCAAGGCCAAGGGAAAAGAGGAAGACCAAAGAACACATTACGCCGGGAAATGGAGAGAGACATGAGAAAAATGAACAAGAATTGGATGGAACTAGAAAAGAAGGCCCAGGACAGAGTGGGTTGGAGAATGCTGGTCGGCGGCCTATGCTCCATTGGGAGTAACAGGCGTAAGTAAGTAAGTAAGTAAGACCGAATGGTTAATAGATTTACACTAAATAACCTAAATATGATTATTACTCAGAGAGGGGTTTTTGTGGATATCATACTAGTTTTAATAGTTGAATTCATGAGTTAATTGAAGCTAGACACTCATGGAAAACCTGTAAGCACTGAACCAACGTTTCGTCCTTATATGAGACTCTTCATGATTTCAACTATTGAAATTTCTAAAATTTCCACAAAACCCCTTTTGATAAAAAAGGGTGTTAAACCTACCAATTTAGGATAATCATTAATTATTTTTTCACATTGAATTTTAATTTGATCTGGATCTTGGATTAAAATTAGATCATGTTCAACAGCTAACTGATGAACTGAATGATATGCATTTTCATCACTCCGAATAATTAAATTCAAGAGCTAAGGCCAAAAAGAGATAGAATGAGAAAACAATATATTGAAATAAAGCAAAACAAAATCGATAAACCTTTTTATCATAAGAACACAATATAATTCCTCAATGCTGACTGAAAACGAAATGATACAGTAATGTGGTATACGCTATTTATGTTGACAGACATTTAAACGGAGAGCGTAGCACAGCTTGAGGCAAAGGAGAAAATGGTACTGTGAGCTAAAACCCCTGCAAGAGCGACTGTTTAAAGGTGGGACGAGTATGGTGTATACTGCTTATGTCGAAAAATATTAGTAGTATATAACACTAGACAGATGTGGGATGCCTGGAGGCAGAAGGTTGGAAAGACCAAATCGAAAAGAACGGGAACATAGAGTAATTGTTATGGCAATGACGGAACAATGATGTTTGAGACAATTGTTGAAGGATCTGCGAATGAAGTATTGAACGTAGCTTTTTTCATCATAACAAAGAACTCTGTGACAATTTATTAAAATATATTGGTTGTCCTCAACAGTGTTCTCGTTCATCACACTCCTATTGTGAACTGATTTAATTCTATTTAATTTAAATTCAAATAAATATTTTTGAAAATCAGTGTACTTGATTGTAAATTGAGATCAACTTTAGCCAACTTATAACGTATTCTTCATAGGTGATTCATTCTATCATGACTGATACAATCGACATTGAATAAGGATCATGGGTATATCGTAAGGTGATTAAAACAGAAAATGTATTCAGTTTACACCAAAAACTTAAAATGTTTCGTTTCAGCCGAACATAGTTCCAAATCACTAGAAAATTCTAAACTCGAATATAAAATATGTTCATTCTTTCTTGAGAATAAGTTACAATGATCATTAAAACAAACGCAGTTCTCTTTACATCTTAACTGAAACAATTAAAAAGAAGTCATTAACTTCTCTTCTGAGTCATGTTCATAGATAGAGACTACTTGGTTTGGGTTCGCGTGACTGTCGTAACCAATGTTTGGAGACTAAGAGTGACATGGCTCAGAATCGATCACAATGGTGTAGGTGCATACACTCTCTATCTTCCCTTAAACTATGAGGTTAAAATTACTTTATACCGTTCTTTCCACCAACCAATTCTTTCTCCCTGTATCATATCCTTATAATCAAGCTTACTTGTACATGTTACCACCATTGAATCAATTAGTTCTATGAATTTCGTGTTCATATTGTTGTGCTAATGAGGTGCAGCAACTTGGACCGATACATATATATACCTAGTCCTACGTTATAGCTGACTGACGGATATATGACCAATAAGTTTCTTTAAATACATGTTGTTTTTTCGAAAAAGCCCCATTTTTAAAATTCTCTTTTGATCTATCCTAACATTAGTGATATTTGAAGGGGTTTTTTGTGAATATTATAGTAATTTTAATAGTTGAGATCATGAGTCAATTGAAGCTAGACTACCATGGAAAACCTGGAAGCATTGGACGACCGTTTTATCCTATCGTTCGACTCCTCAGTAGTGCGCATCCACCATTCCGCTATCCAGTACTTCCAGGTTTTCCATAGTGGTCTAGCTCCAATTGACTCATAATCTCAACTATTAAAAGATATTTATTTTCAATGGTTGAGATCATGAGTCAGTTGAAGCTAGAGCAAGTTTACATTTTTGTGCATACTAATTACACTACTTAAATGTAATAATGAGTAATTTCACTAATATTGGAACATTTCTAATAAGAGTTACAGCTGTGTAATGACAAGTCTATTATTGTTGAATTTCCTTCTTTAAGTTACTAATCGAAGCTTTATTTGTTATGAAACGATGCATCTATTTTGAAATCTAGTATTTAATTCTTATTTCCATTAAATGTTGATAACCTGGCTAGTAACAACTATGTGTTGCTTTGTGATTGATGAAATATATCGGTAAATTTTTAGGTAGGTTAACTATTCAATTACAGTTAGAAGAATTATATTCTACTGACTTTAGAACAACTGTATGGTTTTTTTTTCTTTTATAAGTAATGTTTCTGAGATGATGGAAAGAAAGGTCGGAATTCAATTGATTTACTCATTATGAGTTTTGGTTCAACATGACTTCCGTTCTGATTCAATGTGATGACCATTTAGTGTAGTATTCGTTTTTGTTTCCCCGTATGATATTCCATTCTGTATAATATACGATATTTGAATAGTTGAAATCATGAGTCAATTGAAGCTAGACAACCATGGATAACCGGGAAGCACTGAACGGCCGTTTCATCCTAGTATGGAACTTCTCAGCAGTGCACATCCACGATCCCGCCCCCCCGCGAGATTCCAACCCAGGACCTAGCAATCTCACGAGCGAGTGCTTAACCCCTAGACAATTAAGTCGGCCTGCATCCAACAGTGTTAATGTCTAACTTCAACCAATCCACGAAGTTGAGTAACACATTCACCATTGTCATCAGTGAGTTACTATCACACAACAGACCTGGTTGAACTCTACTGGTCACTGCTTTTCACTAGAACTCCAGGATATACTTCTTGAAGCCAATCACAAATGAGTATATTTTGATTAATATCAGAAGGGGTTTTATTATACAATACTGAAAAAAGGGCTCAAATTACATGAAACTAACATTTTTTAATTTCCAATGAATCTTTGTTTCTCTATGTAGCTGAGTAATAGTGTTACATGTTAATGGAAAATCTAACTTACTTGAACTGCTGCCGGTCCAAATATCTGTCCAGTTAAATTCATTTGGACAAATTCAGCCAATTGTTCAACTTTAGGAAGACTAAATTTTGATTAAGAAAAAGGTTGTTTTTCTTTTTCAAAGAAACTGACAATATGCTAATGAATATCAACAATTAAGTTAACATAATCAATTAAGAGATGATGTAAGTAAAATTAAGAACTAAACATGAATATGCTGTGTTATTTCAGTGAGCTAGGCGGTGAGGTAAATAATTACTAGGTGTTTTGTGACCTTTATTTTACATATGAGATGCATTTATGTATGAGTTGGAATGCAAACTGGATGCCCATAATAAAGCAGGTGATTTTTTTCAGAAAACTAATCTTTGAATCTTTGACCTAAACGTCTAACCGACAACATATCGTGGTGCAACGTCAGAGAAGGCAGTTTCATGAAATTTGTTTTATTTCGATCCTGGAGTCAATATATACCACTGGTTCGGAGTCAAGTTTATTCAACTCTGCGAGGCGCACTCTCCGCGTCCACTGACCCAGCTTATATACAAGATATCAGCTATTCGCCCTTTCACCTTTGTGAAAATCTGTTACATCAAAGCAGTGAGTAAACTCTCTCTGGTAAAGGTTGTAAACGCATCGACGTATGGGAGTATTCTAATAGAGAAAGTGAACGCCTCTATCCTTTGTCCATATCAAGTTATTTAAAGCTGTCTTCATTTATCTCCTTGATTATCCTTCAAATAACACACAAGTAAGTCTTAATTGTACTATTGTTGCTTAATATTTTGTACAGAAATAATGTAACTCACTAAAAATGTACAAATTTATCCATTCGGTTTTTAGTTACAATGTTTCTTTGAAGGCTAATTATACTGAATCAGTTGCCCAAACGAAAACAGATGGAACGGAACTCGAACCTGAGACCAAGTGATTGAAAATCAAGTTCTTAATTCACAAATTCATTGGCGTTACGTATATTAGTAGGGTTTTAATTATCTGAAATATATGTTGGCATACTCAGTAAGTTCGCTAGAGTTTCTGCCACACCGAATTCAATTTATCTTAAAATTGTGGATCAATCCTACTAGTAAGTTATAAGTCTGATCGCTCAATCCATTACAAAACATTTTATTAAACCGACTAGACTGTTACGACACAAACAGTATAGGTAACTGTGCAGTCCATTAAATTCGTGAAACCAATTAATTCAATGGAAAGTAGATTGATCAGCTGGTGAGGTAGTGAATCTTTATCGGCTGAGGTAGTTGGGATATGTATTACCGCCTGCGTCGAAGCGCGATGTAGGTTGGTGCACGGATAAGTTTAAAGAAAACTAGAAGCGATCAAATTAATGGATGGTATTAGTTCATGAAACCACTGACTGTATCAGCAGTTGCGGAATATTTGATTGGAGCTTGCGCGATTATCGTGGTCAGTAGTTGGGAGAAGTTGGATGACATGGTACCGATTAGGTCGCAATGGATCAGATACATTCAGTTTTCGTTTTCACATAGATCTTAAGTCTAAAAATTATTTGATACATTTTGTTGTGTGAATTCAATCTTACCGCTGGGATCATATTTTTTATGCCTAATCTTTTTTACTAACACTAATACTGATACTACTTCTTCTACTCTGGGATATGTCATGATAATTTCATCTCACTGTAATGATATAGTATGTCAAGTTGAATCGATGCACATATATGCCAAATAGTACATCCTTTTTTGCATACTTAAACCTAAGTAGTTGAATCATTCCATTAATCTATATTGTCACTAGAGACAGACGGAGAAACTTTCCAAAGTATCCCAAAAAATCCCGGTAAAGGTATAAACAAAATATCATCAAAGTTATTAACCTAAATCATAGAGTTGATAAAATTTTGTGATATTTTAGTGCCCCCAAAACAAATCCCCAAGATTATGAAAGAATGTAAGTATTGCGTTTCAAATAAAATATAACCTTTATGAAATTCCTTGTTAAAAGAGAACCTTTATATCTTATAAGTAGAAGTTCATTAGTTCGTCTTGTGAAAACAATGCAGAACGAGAAAATCTTAAAAGAGAATTTCATTGTATACAGCATTCTCTGCATCAGTAGGTCTCAATATACACAAAGGAAAAAGAAAGAGTCTCAAATACAACACGGAGAACATCAACCCAATCACACTTGATGGAGAAGCTCTGGGAGATGTGGAATATTTCATGTACGTCGACAATATCATCGATGAACAAGGAAGATCCGATGCAGATGTAATAGCGAGGATTGGCAAAGTGTGCGCGGCATTCTTACAGTTGAAGAACATATGGAGCTAAAAACAACTGTCAACTAATAACAAAGTCAGAATCTCTAATACGTCAAGACAGTCCTATTGTACGGAGCTGAAACGTGGAGAACTACTACAACCATCAGGAAAAAAGTATAAGTATTTATAAACCATTGTCCACATAAGATACTCAATGTCCGTTGACCGGATACCATTGGCAACAGCCGACTGTGGAAGAGAACGAACCAGCTTCCAACTGGAGAGGAAATCAGGATAAGACATTGAAAGTGGATAGGAAATACATTACGAAAATCACCAAACTACATCAAGAGGCAAATGATAACCTAGAATCCTGAAGGGAAACACTCTGTCTCTGTAGACACATAGATATTGGCACAAGGGGGAACCAGACACATATGCGCTACACAAATTTCACTTGATTTGTGTGAGGGCTGTAATACTACCCGGGTGCCCAAACCGAATCAGGTTGTTTTCTCAGGAGGCAATACCCGTAGCCTTCGACCTAAAGGTTTGATCCACAAGGAAGTGGAGCATCGTAAAGAGATGCAGTTCCATGATAACCGGTGACCAACGATTGATTCATACACCATTTGTTCCTTTAAGATACTGGATGCCATGTGCACCTTTGGTTTGGAATGAGGGTTTTCCAACTCCCGTAGGTGGACTATCCGTGTCCACCAACCTGGTTAAAGCGTCGAACATTCGCTTTTCATCCTCTGAATTTCGGAAACAACAGCGATGCCACGAGAAGGCAATGAGTAGGACTTCCTTGTCGGAGGCTATACAAGCGTGGCCATGTGCGAGCATTTGGAGAGGGAGAGCGGACTGTTCCCACTCTCGGAAGTACCAGAGCATTTGGGGGGGGGCATAACGGAAACACAAAACACGAAGGCTGAAGAGTACACTACATCGAAAATTAGAAGCAGACATGAAAAGGATGAATAGCAACTGAAAAGAACTGGAAACGTTTGCCCACAACATAGTTGAATGGAAAGCGCCAGTGAGCAACCTATGCTCCTCGATGAGGGATAACAAATGTAAGTAATGAAATTATTAACTTACCGTTTCAAAGTTTTATCTTTACTTGAATAATTTAAATAACCAGTAATCCAATAACATAATTCTTTAGCATAAATTGAACTATTGAATTGTTCATTATAATTTATAGTTAAATGATTTTTCATTAAATAATTCAATGTTAATTCATATAATTTACATAATTCATTATTATCAATTAAAACAATAACACGATTTAATGATAAACCATATTCAATTAAAAATAATTGTTTTTTATATTGAGGTAAATTCATTATTGAATTAATAGAATCTAAATGATATTTTTGTTTAATACATTGTATACAAATTTGATTATTGGATAATGATATAGAAGATTCAGATGATGATGAAGATGCAGATGATGATGCGGATGATGTGGATGATGAAGATGTAGACGATGATTGAGATGAACATAATGAACAATTTGATAAAATTTTAATAGAAGGTAAATTTGGTTCAGGAATATAACGATAATCTTGAGCTAATTCTTTATTTCGCATTCGTAAGGTTACACTACAATTATAATCATTATTGTTATTATTATGATAGGAGGGTAATAAACAAAAAGAACAATTAACAAATGAAAATATGATTACCAATTAATTAGATAATATACACTGAGAAACTGTTAGGTCCCGATAAGCATAATAAATGGTAACGTTGGGGATCCATTTATGGACCAATACTATGCGTATATTTGTATCGTATTATTGTTAAATAAATAAACTATACATATTCATATTCCTCTTTTTATAAGGTTTATTTTGACCTATGAACTATTATTATACGACTTACCATTCTTGAGTTATGCTCTGTTCATTAATCACTACCTCCCACATTCACAGTCACATTTGGCTAATTCTTGTACAAATGTTGTTTCCTATTTTATGGTACGGTGTGGTCTGTCTGGTTGGTATATAAACCGAGTATGTTTGAAATAAATGGCTCATTTTGCAGAGGCTGACATTAGTGTTCTGGACTTAACTGGCTGGGCTAGGCGGAAAGCAGGACCGATAAGTATTCTAGACTGCTCGTACGTGTTTTATGCGTCATTGGTCCGGTCTATAATTCACTGTTCTTTAATTGGCGGTATCATTGCGTTAACAGGGCACACAGGTCACAAGTTATAACAGAAACATTGGTATGAACAAAAAAAAGAAGACTTCGACTTAATGACGTCAGTTACATACCCATACATACGTTTTTATTTATTTGAACACTGTACCAATATTTATAAGGAGCACCGAATACATATGCGCCACACAAATCTCGTCTGATTTGTGTGAGGGCTGTGATACTGCCCAGGTGCCCAGACTGAAGCAGGTGGTTTTCTTAGGAGGCAACACCCCTAACCTTTGATATAAAGGTCTGATCTACAAGGCAGTTGAGCAACGTAAGGAGATGCAGTCCCATGGTAACCGGTGACCAATGATTGGTTCATACGCCATTTGCTCCCTCAAAATCCTGGAGCCTATGTGTACCACTGGTTTGGAATCAGTTCGCCAACTCCCCTAGGTGGATCCTCAATATCCACTAACCTAGTTAAAGGGCCGGATATTCGCTTCCCGTCCTCTGAATTTCGTAAACAACAGCGGTGCCACGAGAAGGTAGTGACAGTTGTTATATATGTGTGGCCATGTAAGAGCATTTTGAGAGGGAGAGCTGACTCTCTGCACCTTCGGCTGTACCAGGGCATTTGGGGGCCTCCATAAACACGTAAGTAATTTACTAATCAGATTTTAGTTTAAATGCCAACCACTTTGACTCAGTTTGACCTCTATACGAGTTGATGTTTACTCGACTACCAACAAAACCGATCACAATAACTTAGTCATATGTATTTTCTCAGCCAACTTTTTAATCTTGATTCTAACTTTATTTTATACTTTTAATCTTTAAATCTCATTCATTTTTTTCGAACCACAATTTTTTAATAAAAAACTCCCTTGCTTTTCATGTAGTACATTATTTACTTTACTGATGATTGTAGAGTATTGACTAGTTGAATCAATGTGTGATTGTATTAGCTCTTATGTTGTCTCACAATTGATTAATTGCTTGATCTAATTATGATCATAAGAACAAAGCAGATAGTTTTCAGATCAAGATAAAGCATATATGTATACTGAAATTAACAATATAAAGTATACTATTAATCTATACAATAATAAGATTATTATACAATCCATAGAGTTGAATATAATCATTTTAAAATGATTATAAGCTTACTTATCCACCGGATCATAAGATCGAGTTTCTTGTGTAATTTGTCCACCAGAATTGAGAATTTCAGATTGGCGCTTAATCTCATAGTCTGGAATGAAAGAAAACCAATAAATAGAACATTAAAACTGAAATTTTTCTAATGGAGATAGATTTTTTTTATAGCAAATTAGTGTCAGAATAATTGGAAAACTTGGTGTATTGAACAGTTGTTGTTGTTGTTCTTCGTTCCAGAGTACACAGCAATAACTCTGACAATACTCTAGATCGGTCTTCAAGTGAACACAATCAATGGTGTATGTTTCATTTATAACATGGAAGAACCTCTATCAGTCAAAGCTCAATGGGTTCAGAGTGTGATCTCATATACAGGATAGTAAATAGTTATTGTAAAACAAAATAGATGTTTAGTACTCCCAAGGTTTCAGTTGTTCTTCAAAAAATGTTATTATGAAATGAAAACTATTTACAAAATTAACTAACTTCTACAATCCCTTCATCTAATTAAGAAAATATAATATTTACATTAGTGTTATGTATTCAGCAAAACATTACGTACTATACTACTTTTGGTCTACAGTATAGACTTATCCACCAGACAACAGTACAAATGTATGCTGATTTAAGTTGTCAATCTTCATATTAGCAACACAAAGAAAGTAAACTAACAGGAATAAATGGAAGTATGCGGCCTCGATCAATGTTTAGCGATACTAACCAAATAAGAAGTTCACAAGTACACGGATTCATGTACTGGTTTGGCTGCAGTTCATTACTTTAAATATATGAAAAAGATACCACAATTTGCTAGATCAAAAAGATATAAATTTCACATTTGTATTTATTTGAACGAAGAAGTTCATTATATTTTATATTCTAAAATTAGAAACAATAATATATTTCAACATATATTACTTCTGCATCTAGATCATCGATGAATATTCATTAGAATGTATTTGAAATACTTCAATTGTATGTAACAGTAATAAATTATGAGTACTATGTCTTCTTGACAGAGGAAATCAATGCATCTGTGAAATGATGTAAAGTTGTATCAGATGGAATTTAAAAGGGCTATTTTTTACATACATACAAACAATTAATTCAACTGAAATTTTTCAAATTTATTTTACTTAAACATAAAGATTGGCACAAAACGGCACCAAAATATATGTGTGCCATAAAAAGTAATTATTGTTCAATTGGTGTATGGAATAGGATACTGGCAGATTGCCCAAACCAAAACAAGTGGTTCCCTTAGGGTGTCACACTCAAAGCCTTTTGAACAAGAGGTCTAATCCTTAAGGCAGTGGAACAACGTTAAGAGATACGGTTCCATGGTAGTTGGTGATCAAAAATAGGTTCACACGACATTTGTTTCGTCACAGAATCCTGGAGCACATGCGTACTATTAGTTTGGAATTAGGATTTTCCAATCCCCCTAGGTGGATCTTTCGTATCGACTAACTCGGTTAAAGTGCCAGATATCCTCTTTCGTCCTCTCAATTAGAATAAATACTAGTGTTAGCGGGATATAGATTAGATTAAAGCATGTTTCAAACACATAGTTTCCTTTATCATCTTGAAAAGAGCAAGAACAAAACATGTTTCGTGCAGGGTTATGTTGGAGCACGCTGACTGACTATTTCTCGACCAATCAGCGTTAGCGGATACTTGGAGAAGATTCGAGAATCTTCATATGTAAAAATTATAAATATGCTAACGTTTCACTTATTGTGATTCCTGCCTTCATCCAACCTTGCTAGTCGAAATACAATTACATTTCTGCCCGTGTTCTGATTTGGGGACATTTCTAGTGAAGTGGTGTCTAAACATTCTAAGCGATAAGAGTAGTTGGGTCGTAATAAAAGAAATCATAACAACTAGATTATAAAATTTAGGTTTGAGTGCCACTTATACTTTGAATTGGTTTCGTCAGAAGTATTCAACAATCTATATATATATATATATATATATTGACGAATGATGACTCGATTCTTCTTAATACTTTTGATACGGCCCCCAAATGCCCTGGTATGGCCTAGAATGTGGAGGGCCCGCCCCCTCTCCAAATGCTCTGACATGGCCACGAGCATATAGCCTCTGCCGAGGAAGTCATACTCACTGCCTTCTCGTGGCATTCCTGTTGTTTACGAAATTCAGAGGACGGAAAGCGAATGTCCGGCCCTTTAACTAGGTTAGTGGATATTGAGGATCCACCTAGGGGAGTTGGCAAACTGATTCCAAACCAGTGGTACACATAGGCTCCAGGATTTTGAGGGAGCAAATGGCGTATGAACCAATCATTGGTCACCGGTTACCATGGGACTGCATCTCCTTACGTTGCTCAACTGCCTTGTAGATCAGACCTTTATATCAAAGGTTAGGGGTGTTGCCTCCTAAGAAAACCACCTGCTTCAATCTGGGCACCTGGGCAGTATCACAGCCCACACACAAACAGAATGAAACGACTATATTTACGAGTTCAAATTCAAATAGAGAGTACTGAACGCATGCAAATCATTAAATTTTACAGTTAAAACTAAGGTCAGCACATTCAATCTGTAATGTAGTTAATTACTAACTCTGTTGGAGGTAGCGAATTACCCAAGATGAAAGATATTCTCACAATAGTTTGTGAGATTTCTGTGAATTAAATCGTTTTTTATATAAATAACTAGTGAAAATCTTTTTACGACAAAAAATATGTATACAATAATAACCACGAAATAAAGCAGACAAATTAAGGATAATGAACAAGTTAATATAAAATGAAACTACCAACCGATTGAAGAAATTACACCATGAATAGTGCTAATATTTTTAATTTCAACTCGAGGATTTTGATTGGCTATATCTTGACCAATAGAAACATTGACATCAACACGTAGTTCACCGAATGCACCAATAGCATTACAACATTTTAAATGCCTTAGTAAACGTGATAAATCCATAATGAATGCGGCAACTTGATCAGATGAATTAAAATCTGGTTCAGTAACAATTTCTATAAGACCGACATCTGAAATGGATAAAGCAATTCAAAAGAGTTTGACTGAGGTATGAATATCATTTACTGTATTCCGAAAATCGTCACCATTATAACTGGTAAATTGGGTCCATTGGAATCGTTATAACTAGGTAGCTAATCGCTATATCTAGGGTGTCATTGCTGTACGTATGTCTCGACTCTGTTGAGTTCGCAGTCTTACTTCTTTTACTTGAGAATCAGATTCCAATCTAATTCCTCGATTTTACTGCTTATGCTCGGAAACGGGAACCACTACAATTCCCACGAGGAAGTGAGAAAATGAAAGACTAGTGAAATGAATACATTGTTCATGTTTAGTTTATGCTGGCACCCATCAAGAGACTCTCAACTGGTTTGTGTGAAACTTATTATTGCCTGTGGCTTCCAGACATGTATTAACTGGTGTACCAGTCACATGACTTCGAATTGATTTTTATGAGAACTTCTTACAGACGAAAGAAACTACCAAATTTGAAAATTTATTGCTATCAAAATGATATTAACTAGTATGTTTCCCTCATTAATACTGACTTCCGGAATATTAAATAGCACTGGATGACTTTGAATTCCTCAATCAAAATTTAGCTATGCTAACAAAATGAAATCAACGTTCAAACATTAACACCGTTTTATGATCCTATCTCATAGAACAAACTTGACACCTGAAGCTAATTCGATTTTGTAAGTCATCGAGAACTATCTAATACATGATTTTCTTACCCATATAGTTACATCAGCAATAGTAAAAATGTACAGTTCAATCAACAACAAAAAAACATTTTCAATCCTAAGCTAAGTATATTATATATATGCTATTGTGGTGTGTGCTACTTATATCGTCATAAGTAGTATATAACGCGAGTCAGAAATAGAATATCTGGCAGCAGAAGATTGAAAAGATCAAGAAGAGAAGAATGGCAACCGACAGCAATTATTATGAAAATCCAGGAACAATGAAGTCTGAAACAATTAATAAACATTTTGTAAATTAAGTGTTAGAGTATGGTTTTTCTATTTTACCAAATATCCACAACAACACCCGACCGTTGTTGCTACCTTGACGTGGTGGTCGGGCTTGCCTATCGTGATGAATCAACCAAGCTATACTGGCTGGAACAACCGTTCCTCAAGGTCCTACCATGTCAGACAGGTCGGTTGAAGAACGGTAAGACTAAAAGCAACAAACCCAAGGTCCGAAGGCGAAGTCGTACTGCTGACCGTACAGAGGTGTGACAGCAGTAAGGTGTTTCCTTCAGACAACCAGCATGACAGCGATGTTGCCTTCCCACAAGGAGGGGTGGGGTTAGAAAAGGTCGACCCTAAAAATGCATACCTCGCCTTATCCCACGGATATCCGTCTCCGGCTGTAAGGTCTCAACAAGTACGGAGCTAACACAAAAATTACCCATAAAAAGGTCGTGTGTGACCGACCTCATGCAGTTGTCCATTGGGCACTGCGGTCACACTCCCAGGTCACTAAGATTACCACTAATCCAATTTCCTTTTCAGGCACCTCCAGAAGAACCCTCCCACGGTGCGGGCAACCGGGAAGTGATAACCGCCCTCATACCACTAACAGCACTCAAGACCACAGACTGATCAACAACAACACATCAATGGTGGAAATAAACATGATCATAATGAATTCTAAACAACCTAGAATGAGATTGAAAAGAAATTGGGTTGCAACGATTTAATACTTTCATTAATTTTGAACTAATTTCTATTAGGATCTTTGCGTTCATTTCATAAACAATAATAGCAAATCAACTATTACAACTTACCAGAACGATTTAAATCAATTAAACTACAATCACGTTGTATATTATGTAAACTTTTACCAGTATCTTGTTCAATTTGTATACATTTAATACGAGCATGTGAACGATAATAATATTGATTATTATTACTATGTATTACTTCTGTATATAATGGATCAAGTTGTTCAATGATTGAATGATCTCGTAACCAAATATAATCTAAATAACCATTTATAGATATTGGTTTATAATATTGGGTAATTTGATAACCAGCTGGTAAATCAGTATAAAAGTAATGCTTACGATCAAAATTTGTAATTGAATTAATTTTACAATTTAATCCAATTGAAGCAATGATAGCTAGTTCAAGACAATGACGATTTAAAATCTGTTAAATAACAATGTAATACAATAAAAGTAAAAGAAACTATTAGTATCAGAAGGGGTTTTGTAGAGATTGTAGTAATTTCAACAGTTGAGATGACGAGTCAATTGAAGTTAGACAACCATGGAAAACCTGGAAGCATTGGACGGCCGTTTCGTCCTATTGTGGGACTCCTCAGCAGTGCGCATCCACGATCCCGCCTCGCGAGACTTGAACCCAGGACCTATCGGTCTCGCGCCAGGCGTTTAGCCAACTAGACCACTGAGTCGGCCTGCATCCAGCGGTATTAATGTCTAACTTCAACTAATCCACGAAATTGAGCGACACATCCACCATTGTCTCCAGTGAGTTACGATCTCACAACTGACGCGATTGAATTCCACAGGTCACTGCTTCTCACTAGAACTCCAGGATATACCTCTTGAAGTCAGTAACTAATGAGCATATGTTGATTAGTATCAGAAGGGGTTTTGTGGAAATTGTAGTAATTTCAACAGTTGAGATCATGAGTCAATTGAAGCTAGACCATCATGAAAAACCTTGAAGCACTGGACGGCAATTTCATTATAGTGCGAGACTCCACAGCAGTGCGCATCCACGAGATCCTGCCTCGCGAGTTAAAAAATGACATAACTATTTGACTAATACCAAATTTCTACAGTGATGTTATAAATAAGGACAATAATATTTTAATAATCAGTTAGCTAACTTGTTGACAATGTTAGATCCCCAGAATTCACTTGATAAATACCTTATTTTTGTAATTTTATTTTGAAATTTTGGAATTCTTGTTTTCGCGCCAAAAGTGCTCATTTTCACCTTTATGTCGTATAGCCCACTTGGGAGAAACTCAAACGCTATTGGTTCGTTATATCTTTTAGTGTGCTATTTTGTAACCTTTTCTAAAGACTAGTTTATGCTGTATATACACGTTTGATTTGTGCCCCTTATTATTGCTCATGCTTCTGGCTGCTTACAGAATATATTTGCCTGTTTCGAACTTGGAATTTAATCTCTAGTTAACGGGGCTAGAACGCATCAGAATAGTTGGCTTAATGGTCTTTGGTCACAGAGTCTTTGTTTTGTTCTCAAACTAGGTGAACTTGTAATCGCTTCAAATATAGTGAATATATTATAAAAATATTCTTTAACGATATAGTTTTCGATGACACATGGAGTCGAACATAGAATATACAGATCTTAAAGTGAGTATGATATCTTGAAATTACTTTATTAGTATTTTAGAGTTAGTCTTTCCAATTACAATCGAATTTTAATCCTCATATAATATTCTCATCAGTGAGTGAGTAACTATTCTCCTAATGACTTGATTGATTTCACACATGAAAACTCTAACCACCTTTTCCAATGACTACTTAATAAAAGTCACATTGTGATTAAAACTTTACCTCTGAAATGAGAATCTCATGTGGTATATAGCATTCACTAAACACTAAATAACTATAAAAATATATATAAGTAAATATTTTATCTAAAATAAATCGCAGTTCAACATTTTCTTCATGAACCGACATTTATCATATGAACATAGAACTCCTGAATGCCCCGGTAAAGCCAAGGGTGACGAGAGTTCGCTCTCCCTCTCCAAATGCTCTCACATGGCCAGGCGTATATAGCCACTGACAGGGAAGTTTTACTCACTGCCTTCTCGTGAAGGGGGTTTCGTTTAAGAAATTGAGAGGACGAAAAGTGAATGTCCAGCGCTTGAACCGAGTTAGTGGATATGAAAGATCCACGTAGAGGAGTTGCGAAACCCTGATTCCAAACCAACAGTACACAAGGGCTCTAGAATCCTATGACATAACAAATGGCATATGAACCTATTTTGGTCATCAACTACCATGAAACCGCATCTCCCAACGTTGTTCCACTGCCACAAGAATTATACTTCTTGGTCAAAAGGCTCAGATACTGATTCCTCAAGATAACCACCTGTTTCGGTTTGGACAACCGGACAGTATCTAAGTTCATGCACCAATTGAAAAATAATTACTTTGTATGGCGCATATATATTTTGGTGCATCTTTGCACCAATGTTCATGTTTTTAAATAAAGAAATAAAGAAATCTTAATAGTTGAAATCATGAGTCAATTGAAGCTAGACCAACACGGAAAACCTGGAAGCATTGGACGGTCGTTTCGTCCTACTTTGGGGCTCCTCAGCAGTGCGCATCTACGACCTCGCCCCCCACCCCCGAGATTCGAACCCAAGACCTATCAGTCTATCGCGACACATCCACCGGTAGATCCTGGGTTCGAATCTGGAGAGGCGGGATCGTGCATGTGCACTGGTGAGGAGTCCCATACTAGGTCGAAACGGACGTCCGATGCTTCCAGGTTTTCCATGATGGTCTAGCTTCAATTGACTCATGATTTCATCTATTAATATTATTATAATATCCAGAAATAAATCCTTCTGAAATCAACAAATATAAACGTAGGAAGTTACTAGTAATAAAATCCTTTCACAATTTCATATCTGTAAATAAAAACTGGTATAAAAACAACAAGAAGTAAATGTTAGATATCAACAATTTATACCTCACATGTTTCCTGTGATATTTTAAAGCCGGAACTATTAAATACACTTAAAATATACTACAAGATATATATATACTTCAATACATAATAAGTTCGACAGTTTCACTTACCGGCATACTACCAGGGATTGCAACATCATGTAAACCTAATTGTGTATTAGGAGGAGCTCCAAAACTATATGGTACATATGTAAATAATTTATTATGTGCAGATAATTGAGCATGAATTTCTAATCCAATTAAAGGTATATAATTTGTTATTCTTGTTGTTTGAGTTGAATAAAATATACGATGATATTGTGGTATAATTTGATTTATACAAAATAGATATTTGTATCGTGGAACAATCTTCATATTTTGTATTATTGACAATACTAGACAATGAAAAAACAAAATTATAGATGATAAAGAAATGAATCTACCTTATTATCAGTGATAATGCTGGTAATCACTGGTAATCAGCATTACTGATAACTGCCCCCAGATGCCCTGGTATGGCCGACAGTGGGGAGAGTCAGCACTCCCTCTCCAAATGCCCTTACACGGCCACATGGATACAGCCACTACCAGGGAAGTCCTAATCATTGCTTTCTCACACCAAGGGTGTTGTTTACGAAATTGAGAGAACGAAAAGCGAATGTCCAATGCTTTAATCGGGTTGGTGGATATGGAGGATCCACCTAAAGGAGTTGGAAAACCCTGATTCCAAGCCAGTGGTGCACAAGGGCTCCAGGATCCTGAGGGAACAAATGGCGTATGGACCACTCATTGGTCACCGGCTACCATGGGACGGCATCTCCTGACGTCGCCCCACTGCCCTGTAGATCAGACTTTTAGGCCAAAGGTTTGTGGTATGAACCCTCAAGAAAACCACCTGTTTCGGTTTAGGCACCCGGGCAGAATCTCAGCCCTCACACAAATCGAATGCTTTATGTGGCACATATCTATTTGTTGCCTTCTTGTACCAATGTTTACGTGTTTAGATAAATAAATAAATAATCATTTGTTTTACTCTGTTTAATCCGATTCGAAACAAAATGAATCTTATTAATATGAGTACGCTCATATAGATCAGATTAAACTCCTGGTGGATAAATTCAAACTTAAAGTTTTGTTATCAGATAAGCTTGTTGTTTGGTTGATAAAGTTCAAGGTAAATTAATTGTAGACTTCTTGATAAACTCTTACCGTTACACAGAGGTTCTTTGCTTAACCTTCAGTTTGAGCTTTGCATGGATCAATAATTCCTATCATTAAGTTATTTAACAGATTATTAGCACTAGTGTTGCCTTATTTACTTTCAGTCTACTGCGATTCATTAGAATATATAATATACAGAAACATAGAGATCACTCCATGACATAAAAAACAAGCCTATCTTTTTATTGCGAGAAGAATAAATTTTTCTTTCTTCACAAATCATTAAAAGCATCAGATACGCATATTAACTGCTTCATAATACCGATTTCTAGCACAAGATTTTATCTTGAAATAATGAAGATTGGCTTCTCGGGTAGATACTTTTAGAAGTGTTGTGTCGTGTTAGCTAGATGACTTGATTGTGAAAGTTCCAGTGTTACTCTACATGATATCGCCAAATCATACTTTATATAGAACTAACATTTTCAGTCATTCCACAAGCATTAGATAAGTTTGTTCTAATGGCCATCTTTGTCACCATTTTTACTTTCATTTTCGCCGTTTTTCCCGTTGATATCAAGTCACGTGATTGACTGACCTCTCCCGTGTAGATTGAGAGATTGGCTCTATGTCAATGTGTTTACTGATTGTCTATTTATCTGGATTCCACGTTTCTAGAAATCACCCTACCTTCTTAAAAGTTTCCTGATCCAGAATGTTGATTTTTCCCAACTAAATTCATGCCCACTGTTTTTTACATCCAGTTACATTAGTGACGACATACAATGTCATTCCAGCCCTAATCCATCTTAATTTATGAACAAATGAAGAAGTCTTTCACTTTGTCCACTGTAACACATTTCGCATTTGGTGTAACTTATTTTGTAGATGAAGACACTTTTTTTTCTTATTGGTTATATGTCTTCAGCCTAAATAAAATGGAATGAAGTGATTGCGTTGGTTTTATAAGTGATATTGATTTCGATGGGTTTCAGGGTTATTTTTCACATATACTACGGAATAAAACCTAAGAAAAAAACAATCTTACAGAGGATAATTAGAACGAACTGATTTGACTGGAAGGCTCATATATGCATGAAGTATGGGCTAATGTTGTTCAAAACAACAATGAAAGCTCCATAATTAGACGATCTAGCTAACAGAACGGACAGTGTTGAAATGCCATTATCCTATGAAACTACTGTCTCCTATGAACTGGGTGTAAGTTTATCGCTCATTTTCCTTGGTGCGATATTGATAGATGAGTTAAAACATTACGTGAGATTATGCAGAATTTATCCCTGTAGGATAGTTCTATTTATTGTTTATCTTGCAATAAGATATTACAAAATTATCATTCGTTTTCACCTCTAATCTCGTGTACTATTGTTTATTCCATTGCCCATTCTCAATTGATATATTTCACTTGATTATGAATAGTATGCTACTTCACCAAGTTAAAACCACTTAAATATATCAGTATTTTATAAGTTTTTCATAAAATATTTAAACCTAGCGATAGTGGCAGAGACTGCGGCAAAGGAGTGTGACGGCGGGTAGAACCGCAGGAGTGAAAATTTAAAGAGGATGGAAGGGAAATGCCTGTGAGCAGAAGACTGAGGAAATTGAAATAAAAAGAAAGAGAACCGAAAGCGACCAAAGTAACAACAGAAATGAAGGTATGACGAATTTTGTAAGAGATAACTGGTGGAGGATGTACAAGCGATGCATTTAATGTATGGTTTTCATATTTCACCAAGGCACTCTGTGACTGCACTAAACAATAAACTAGTCTTCTCCACCTGAGTTCCTCATTCACTACATTTGATTTCATTGCCAAAGGGAGAGCGTGGAGGATGCAGTTCGACTGAATTGAGTGATATTATTATTATTTAGACACATAAACACCGATACAAGGAGGCACCAAACAGATATGCTCCACATAAATCATTCGACTCATGTGAGGGATGGGATACTACCTGGGTGCCCAAACCGAAACAGGTGGTTTTCTTAGGGGGCCACACCCCAATAAATATCATAGTTATTTAATATACCCTTGAGGGTCAAGATAATTTTATATCGGTTTTCAGGAGAACTAGACACCATCCAGACTTTCTCGTGACAACCCAAACAGTACAGCACAGTCCTGTTTAACAGGAGAGTTGGACACCGTCCAAGATTAAAATTTGTAGCCCAAAAAGTACGGCTCAACCCCGTTTCCATGAGAACCAAACACCATCCAGGCTAAAACTTTATAACCCGAGCGATATAGCTCAATTCCGTTTCATAGGAGAGCGGGATAGTTCTATTTTTTCAGTAAAAAATAAGATGTTCTTCTAGATTTTTTACACAACTTAAAAATACACTGAGAAAAAGGTTGAAGAATTTTGTCTTACCCCCCCCCCAGTGTCAAAATGAATAAATTATTTAATACGATTATTTAGACAATGTAGTGGTATAAATTAAAACTTGAAATATGGACATTTTAACCTTATTGGCTGATGGTTTAAAATTTTAATCTCTAATTAAGTCACTTCATTATTATTCAGTTGTTAACATAAGGTAAGATGTAATTAACATTCACTTGTTTTTTTTACTTGTATCTTCCCATTGTTATTTAAGACTGTAATTGATCGCCCCCAAATGCTCTGGTACGGCCGAGAGTAGAGAGAATCAGCTCTCCCTCTCCAAATGCTCTCAGATAGCTACGCGTATATAGCCTCTACCAGGGAAGTCCTACTCACTGCCCTCCTGCACCACGGGTATTGTTTACGAAATTGAGAGGACGAAAAGCGAATGTCTGGCACTTTAACCGGGTTGGTGGACACGGAGAGTCCACCTAGAAGTGTTGGAAAACCCTCATTCCATACCAATCGTGGACATGAGCCCCAGGATCCTGAGGGAATAAATGGCGTATGGACCACTCATTGGTCACCGGTTACCATGGAACTGCATCTCCCTACGTTGCTCCACTGCCTTGTAGATCAGACCTTCATGTCGAAGGCTCTAGGTGTCGCCCCCTAAGAGAATCACCTGCTTCGGTTTGGGCATCCGGGCAGTATCACAGCCCTCGCACATATCAAATGAGTTTTGTGTGGCGCATATCTATTTAGTGCCTCCTTGTACCAATATCTATGTGTTAAAATAAATAAATAAACTGTAATTGATCAGTCTCACCCAGCTGACGAGTCCCAAACAGGACGAAACGCGCGTCCTGGATTCCATTACTAACAACTATCCATCTTTGTTTAATTAACATTAGTTTAATATTTGTTACTTAAAGATAAAAAAAGATATATGGATTTTTCAAACTATAAAAGGTATAAGTAAATCAACAAAACAAACATTGTAAATAAAACAACTTGATTTTCTGAAATAGTTTTTTTTATTGTGATAGAAGAGAATGTTACCATATTTGTACAATAATACAGGTAGGAAACAAAAAAATATTTGTTATTTATGAATGAAATTAGACATAGGTTTTTTTCATATGATTAAAGAAAAGTTAGGCCTAAATTGTAAAAGATAATAATAATGTATATTAAGCATAAACATTATGAACTTATATTTGAGCCTCGATTACAGCCCCATCCACAGCACCGGCAATAGGTACAATCAGGTTATCTTTACTCATAAGATTGTATTTTAACACAAATGTTGTAAACCTTCGACATAATGCAGTTGATTCCTGATTAAATAATAAAAGAAAACCAGAAAACTCTCAAGTTAAAATCTATGAAACACTTTATAACGTACTTCACCATTAATCACAAACAATCTCTAAACAACAAAGGGCCCCTAAATGCCCTGATGCGGTCGAGAGGGGGGAGAGTCAGCTCTCCCTCTCCAAATGCTCTCATATGACCATTTGCATACAACCACTACCAGGGAAGTCCTAATCACTGCTTTCTCACACCAAGGGTGTTGTTTACGAAATTGAGAGAACGAAAAGCGAATGTCCAACGCTTTAATCGGGTTGGTGGATATGGAGGATCCACCTAGAGGAGTTGGAACACCCTGATTCCAAGCCAGTGGTGCACAAGGGCTCCAGGATCCTGAGGGAACAAATGGCGTATGGACCACTCATTGGTCACCGGCTACCATGGAACTGTATTGTCTAATGTTGCTCCACTACCTTGTGGATTAGACATTTAGGTCAAAGGCTCGAGGTTTGACCCCGTAAGAAAACCACCTGCTTCGGTCTGGGCGCCCAG